GTTGCATCCAGTGGGGACATAATTACTGATTATAATGACTTATACTGTCTTTTTACTCGTTGCGTTGCATCGCACCGCGTAAATATAAAACCATGTCTGCATTTGTAATCGAAGAAATGACAAACAACAAGCACTACTCTACACTGCCCAAAAACTCGCTTTTTCAGATTAGTTGATTGAATCCTTCATGCTGATAGAAGTTTTGTTGCAGGTAGGCATTGCATTGTATTGAGATATTATGTCCTTTTTCATATTTATAAGTAAAATAGTCTTTGTATTTCCATGAGAGAAATGCATTACGTGAATGGCTTCCTGTTGTGTCGTCCATTTTTGTGTCGTGATGATGAGCGTATACACTCACTACGAGTTGCTAAATGAACAGGCTGCTGCACGCATTTTTTTCAACAGAGAATCAGTTGCCTTATTGCCTTATTAAAATCCCCAAAGTTAAATATTAAATAAAAAAATGACATTAAAATTCAAAGTAATCACTTTGGTAATCTAAAATACTTTTCGGATGTAACTGTAATTTGATTACCACCTATTTAAAATGTAATTATAATGAAATGCAGTTACTCATATATTGTATTTTAAATACGTAACGCCGTTACATGTATTTCATTATTCCCCAGCCCTGGTTATAATGTGCAACGCTGTAAGAACGCGTAAACTGAATTGATGCTACAAGAACAGATTTTGCATTTAATGCTGCAATCAACACTTTTCATTAAATTTTTTCTTAATTTGCGACAGCCATAATGGATATAGTTTAGCTGACTGTGCAGTGGCATTTTGTCCCAAGCCCCCGTTCATTTCCGACCTGTGCGACCTTTGTGCTTGCTTCTCATGTCTTTTGCAATGTCTTGAGCATGACACGGTGTTCACGGTGTACAGTCACTGGCAGTAGTATTCCTCTAAAACCCATATAATACCCATAATACCCTGTTCTCTGAATATTCCAAGACAGGATCTATGCACTGTTGAGCACTCATTGATTTCAGGAGTAGAGCTCTTGTAAAAGGGGAATTAGACCAGCAGTCCGATGGAATTGAAGCACTGAAGGAAGTTAATGCATCATTACCCAGAATTTACCCAGAGGTCCTGTTCTTTCACCCCACCCCAGTCCAGCCCAGGACATGACAGCCACATTAGTGGAGAGAGATAAGAACAAGAGGACCACGAGAAGAAAATGATATCACGGCTTCTGCTCTTTACAGATGTAGCAGAGAGTGCCGGTTGTTTTTGGGGCTATATGCAGAATCTACTAACTGGACAGGGGAAATGTCAAGTCAGTTAAAACTGAAGAGAACGGCACATAGACGTCTGTTTCAAACACTCTGTCATTTACATTAGCAGGGTGCAGACATAAAAGATAAAGAAACTGGGCAAGGAGGTTTACATTAGAATAAAAGCTAGAGTGAACAAACAGTCCAGACTTCAGTCAGGGGTTCAGAACCTGACATTCATTAAAGAAACCCAAGCACAAATATGACCTGGAGGAAAATATCAACCTCTACAGCTTTATATCAAATGAGCAGGTGGATGTTTCAATATGTCTAGATCAGGGTTATGAAGGAGATCTTTAATGACTCTCTCCTCTTTTATCATAGATGATGCTATACAAACATAATGAATAAATATACCATATATATATACAGGCTTGATACTGTCATGAGGAATTGATGTGACGGTGTAAAGTGTAGACATGTACAGTTTAAAGATTTTTTTTTCTTCACAATAACATGCACTGATAAGTC